TGAGTATCAGAGTGTTCCATCTCATTTCCCTTTGGGGTTGCTGTAGGTGATCTGGAAGTCTGATTTTGAGACTTGTTTATGTGTCTTCTCATTTAAATGGCAGAGTGGGGGGCTGCTGGTGGCACCTGCACAGCTCACCTCCTCTATGCTGGGAGCAGTGGAATGGTGGCCAGGAGGCCCCTTCCTCTGGGCTGGGAGCAGTGGAATGGCTCACAAGGAAAATCTTTAAAGTGGCTATAAAAAATCAATGAATCACTTATAAAGCTAAACCCAGTAGAATTACAGCAGACTTTTCAACACAAATCTTAAATGCCAAAACTTAGTGTTTCAAGCCCTAAAGGAGAATAATCTCCAACCCAGGCTGATGCATCTTGTGAAAATATTTTTCAAAATTGTTGGAGAAATGAGATGCTTTCATGATAAAGAGCACCTAAAGAAATTCATGACCACCAAACCAGCACTCTAAAAAATTCTCGAGGACATCCCAGAAAAAGACAAGCTACCAATGACAAAAGGCCTGATAGAATGAACGCACCAGGAAGGGTGAGCTGTTATGTTGAAGGAAAATAAAGAGAATCAACAAGAAAATAAGGCAATGACAGATACAAGTCAATATATAATGGTAATAACATACAATGTGAGTGGTCTCAATTCCCCAATCCAAGGGCTGGGGATTTAGCTCAATGGCACTGCCGCCCACCTCAATTCACCAATCCAAGGACACAGACCAGCAAAATGGATCAAGAAACAAAATCCAATAGCATGCTGTATAAAAGAGCACATTAATTCCAAAAAGAAATACATAGCCTAAAAATCAATGGATGGAAAACAACATTCCATGAAGAAGCCACTCCAAAAAACATAAGTGTGTACTGGGAACCAGCCATGATATGTATAGATTGGTGGAGGCCAGGAACCAGGCACCCCACAATCCCAAGGTCAGTGTTAACTTGTCTCAGGAAAAGAGAAGTATGTAAAAGGTTATAGACTTCCTGGCTATGTGGGAAAACCATAATCATAGCAATCCTGAGGCAAGATAGCATCTACTAAGGACAATAAAAAATACAGGCCAGTGCTCAATTGGGCAGCACATATACTAAAAAAATGCAGGCCTCCAGGTATGGAGAAAGATCTTAACTTGTTTCCTTTGAGACACCAAACTTGGTCCCTATCATGCTACCCTAATCCTACTGCAGTCGCTGTTCCTAGAATAATATACTATCCCCTCTCCTGCATGTCTTTGCTGAATAATAAAAGCAGGCCCATGGTGGAGTTCATCAAAGCCTGTCCACAAGAGGTGGATTCCTCCCGGCCCCCTTTTGCATATTAAATATTGTCTCTGACTCTTTCTATTATTCTATGTCATCCTCCCAACAGGTATTCAGGGGTCTTACCAGCTCTTCGACAGGTGTAGCTATCCTGTATTCATACAGCCAAAGCTAATCAAAAGAGGCAAAGAAGGTCACTACATATTGGTTAAGGGAACAATCCAATAGGAAAAGATAACAATCGCTAACATATATGCACTGAACAATGGTTTACCGAGCTTTATAAACAAGTACTACTGGACATAAAAGATCAGAGGAGCATAAACAATATTATAGTGGGGGACCTCAATACCCCACTATCACAAATAGACAGATCAACTAGACAAAAAAATCAACAAATATCAGAGTTGAACAAAAACTTCAAACAAATGGTCTTAATATATACCTACAAAGTGTTCTACCCAGCAACGACAGAATACATTCTCAGCAGCACAGGGGACTTTCTCAAAAAAGACCACATACCAGTCAATAAACCATGCTTCAGTAAATGTAAAAGAATTGAAACTGTACCATGAATATTATCAAATCATAGTGCAATAAAACTAGAAATCAATGATAAAAGAAAATACAAATTATGTAAATACATAGAACCTAAACAATACACTATTAAACAATGGGTTACAGAAGAAATCAAGGAAGAAATAAGGCAGTTTCTAGAACTAAATGATAGTTCCAGAATAACATACCAGAAATTATGGGACACAATGAAAACAGCCTTAAGACAGAAATTCATAACTGTTAGTGCCCTTATCACATAAACAGAGTGAGTCCAAATAACCTAATGGTGTACCTCAAGGTCCTAGAAAAATAAGAACAACCCAAACCCAAAGCTAGTAGAAGGAAGGAAGTTCTAAACAATGACATTGAGACCAAGAAAAAAAATACAAAGAACTAATGAATTGAAGATGGTTCTGCAAACCCTTAGGCAACCTAACCAAAAGGAAGAGAAAAAAGACCTAGATCAATGTAATTAGAAATGAAAAAGGTGAAATCAGAATGGGCAATGTAGAAATAATAAAGATAACTAACTAACAAATCTGTAGGCCAATAAATTGAAAAATTTGGAAGAAATGGATAGATTCCTAGATACATATGAATTATCAAAACTGAGCCAAGAAGATTTAGAAACCCTGAAAAATCCAATGAAATAGAAGCACTAATTAAAAACTTGCCAACTAATAAAAGCCCAGGTCTTTAAGGGTTCACTGATGAATTCTGCAAGAACTTCAAGGATATTTTAACACCAATACTCCTGAAGCTTCTTAATGAAATTGAAAGGGAAGAAGTACTCCACAAATCATTCCTGACTGTTATCCTGATTCCAAAACCAGTCAAGGATCCAAACAGAGAACTATAGACCAATGTTTTTAGTAGATGTAAAAATCCTCAACATGATACTGGCAAGCAGAATGCAACAAATCATCAAAGAGATTACACATCATGACCAAGTAGACTTCATCCCAGGAATGCAAGAATGTCTCAACATATGCAAATCAATAAGTGAAATGGATCACATAAAGAGAAGCAAGGACAAAAATCACATGACCATTTCAATAGATGCAGAAAAAGCCTTTGACAAAATCCAAATATCCTTTCTTGAGAAAAACCCTGAAGAAAATAGGTATAGAAGAACTTTATTTCAATCTGATAAAAGCCATTTATGACAAATCCACTTCCAACATCATATTAAATAGGGAAAAACTGAAAGCTTTCTTTCTAAAATCAAGAATAAGACAAAGATATCCACTATCACCACTCCTGTTCAATTTAGTACTCAAAACAGTATGAGTAATTGGTGAGAAAAAGAAATAAAGGAGATACATATAGGAAAAGAAGTCAAATTATCATAACTTACATATGACATGATTCCCTACATAGAAGACTCCCAAAAATCCAAGAGATTCTTAGAATTAATAACGAAATTCAGCAATGTAGCAGGATACAAAATCTACACAAAAATCAGTAGCTTTTCTTTATATTACTAATGAATCTGCTGAAAAAGAAATTAGAAAAAAATACCATTCACAATAGTATCAAGAAAAAATAAATACTTTGGAAAGAACCTAAGGAAGTGAAAGACGTCTACAAGGAAATCTGCAGTACTCCAAAAAAGGAGATTGAAGAGAATATCAGAAGATGGAAAGATAATATCTGTTCCTGGATAGGCAGAACCAATATAGTGATATACAGATTTAATGCAGTTTCAATCAAAATTCCAACAGCATTTTTCACAGAACTGGAGAAAATCCTAAAAGTCATATGGAACTGGGAGAAACCCCGAGTAGCAAAAGGAATCATGGGTGAAAAGGGCAAAAGGGGGCGATATCATTATCCCAAACCTGAAGTTATATTACAAAACAACTGTAATAAAAACAGCATGGTACTAGCACAGAAACAGACTCAATGGAGCAAAGTAGAAGATGAGTCTCCGCCTTGCCAGCTCATCCTGTGGATCTTGGGACTTGTCAATCTCCATAATTGCATGAGCCCATTCTTTACAACAAACCTATTTCTTTATACATGCACATTGCTGGTTCTGTCCCTCTTGACAACTCTAATACAACAAAACAAAGAAACAAAACAGTTTGTGCAATATTTAGAATGTTTAAATGATACCTCCTGTAATTAGGAAGTGACTAGTTGCAAATGGAAGAGGACTAGAGAAAAAGAGGTTGTTTACATTTATGAACCACTGGGTATGTATTTGGTGCTGTTATTCCCTGAACCAGGAAGTAATGATGAAAAAACATTTAGAGAATGGGAAAATGGCAAGTTGTATTTTAGACTCATATGTGCACAGTACAGACTAATGTTCAAGAACATGAGCTTTATATACAAATGTTATATACACTTCTCAGCTATAAATTCTTGGGTGGGGCTATTTAATCCTTTCAACTGTAGTTTTCTTATATGTGAAGTAGGCGCCCATAATTCTCATATCATAGATTTTCTGTGAAAACAATGAAATAATATACATAGCCATTTGAATACAGTACCTGGCATACAATATGTTCCATAGAATTAATACCTTTAAAAAATTGAGGCACCTGAAAGACAGATTTGACTATGAAGGTTGGAAGAGAGAATGGCAACCACTGATTTTAGAAGGGCACTTTCGTAAAATAATATCAACATTTAATTTTATTATGATTTTACAGAAATATTGTCACACCACAGCCTGTTACTGTTGAGAATTCAGCTGACAGACAACACCCCAACCAGCCACCTATAGTACAACTTGAAAATCCCCGGGAAAGGTAAATAGCACAATAGTTTTCATTTATTTAAGTGTTATTTGTATCATAGATTAATCCCTTCCTTTGAGAGAAGGGCTTGCTTTTTTTCCAGCAACATTCATTGTAGTGCTATTTCAAGGGTTCATAAATTATTTCTTAGCAAATTTAAGCAGTCTAAAAATATCAGTCTTATGGCAAGAAAAGAGGGAAAAGCCCATTTATAAGGGAGAAAGCATAGTATTTGCTCTGTTCTCTCCAATGTATTTCATAATCTCTTATGCTTTTTTCTATATTTTTCATCCTCGTCAGTCAAGATATTTTATGTGCTTAAATCTAGAGTTCTTATATTCTGCTTCATTTGTTCTTATTTCTAATCTACTGTTAAAGTCTTGCTTTTAGTTATTTTCTCTCTCTCTCTCTCCATTTGTATAAGTTTTTACTTCTCTGCTCAAAATCCCCTGCCTTGTTCTCCAATTTCTTGAACATATTAATCATTGTGTCAGTCAGCTCAGCCTGCCAAAAAAGTAAAATAAATTACCATTGACTAAACTATAGGCTAAATTTATAAATTTATTTCTCACAGTTCTGGAACCTAAGTCCAAAATCAAGATGCTGACTGATTTGGTTCTTGCTGAGGGCCCACTTCCTGGTTTACATATGGTGACCTTCTTACTGTATCCTCACAGGATGGAGGGAGGAAAGGAGGGAGAGAGGAGAGAGAGAAAAGAGAGAGATTATCTCTCATCTCTTTTAATATGAGCACTCATTCTATTAACAAAGGATCTACTTTCATGTCCTAATTACCTCTCAAAACTCCTACCTACCAGTATCATTAATAAGATAATAGGGCTTCAGCATGTAAATTTTTGGAGACACAAACATTCCATTCTCAGGAATCATTGGTATTTTAAAGTCTAACTTTGGCTCTTTTATAATTCCATTCCTACTATTTGTTTTTCTCTGGGTTTTTAATCATATCTTACATTCTTGTGTACATCATTGTCCCGGCCCGCGGGTAAGTCAACGGAGACCCTAGAGGGGGAGCGAGGATGAGAGGGGACAGGGGACACGAGAGATGGAGACAAGACAGGTTTCTGATCAAGTCTCGTTTATTGCAGAAGCTGTTACAACATATATACCGTAGGGCTAGAGGGGAGGAG